GGATATCGAACTAGTACGTTGTTGGAGAACGTGGTATAAATTGGCTCAGTGGGGAAAAAAGGCGTTTGGATTGGGCTCTTGCGTTATTGGTCACTAAGGTCGTGTAAGTCTGTTCCTGACAGTGGCTTTTATTGTCTTTACGCCCTATGTGCTTCCCTATCCAGGATGTCAGTCCAGTCAAGGGTTTTGGTGACCTTTCGAGTTCTTTCTTCTGGCCCTGAGGGTTATCGTGTTTGGGTCCTGGAGCAGGGTCGTGATTTGGGGTGGCCATAGTGCTTCTCTTATTGGTCGCCGTGCCAGCGTTTTTGTTTAGTACTACCCTTTTATCTGCCATCTATTAGAATCTTCTGTTATGGCGTGCTTGTGACTCTGGAGAGTTTGTGGGCAGTTTTTCTCTGTCATTTACCTCCTCCAATCTGTTTGGGGGAGGGAGGGGAATGGAGCAAGGTGTGGTGTACCATCTCATGAGCATTTTGTAGGATTGTTCCTGGTGTAGTACACATATCGATGTCTTTGCCGTCGCTTCCCATATGTCCACCCAGTCCTCTCCCTCCAGTTCCCCACCCAGGTCCGTCTCCCACTGGTTTATATACCTTGGATCTTTAGCGTCTTTATCAGGGGCGCTGAGTTGTGTGTATATGGCTGTTATTAAGCCTTTTTGTACGGTTTCAGCATTCCACAGCTGTTCATAGAACGTCATCTGAGTATGGGCTGCTTTTCTAACCTCTGGGTTTTTGGCGAAGTCTCGTAGTTGTACGTATCTAAATACATCTTTCGTGGTTAGGGGTGCCAAGGTCTTTAGGTTGTCAAACGTTTTGAAGGATCTGCCGTCGTCCATATCTCTGTATCCCCGTGCTTTCTATTCCCCGCAAGTCTTGTGCGCTCAGCCCGGGCTCGAATGCTTTGTTCCGTAAATAAGGAGTCAGTGGTGAGGGTGTGTGATTTAGTGCATATTTGTTGGCCGTCATATCCCATATACGTATGGAATTAAGGATCGCTGGGCAAGTGGTTCGTAGGGGCGGTCTGTCCTGTTTGGGTACCCATATCCAGAATTGAGGTAGGTCCGTGCTCATTAGTTTTGTTTCCAAGTCTACACACCTGTGTGAGCCCTCTGGAGCATGCCATGCTACTATATGGGCCAGCTGAGCCGCCAAGTAGTATTGGTATAGGTTAGGGAGTCCCAGTCCGCCTCTTGTTTTCGGTCGGTACAGTACTTATCTAGCTACTCTGTGGCGTTTTTGGGCCCATATGAAATTATCTATGTGTCTTTGTAGTGTCATTAGGTCTTGTTTGGTAACTTTAATCGGTAGGGCTTGGAACAAGAACAGTAGGCGAGGGAGCATCGTCATTTTAATGGCATGTAGTCTGCCCATCCATGAGATTGTTTTTTCTTGGCATTTTTCTATATCCCGGGAGAGTGCTTGGATATTGGGTGTGTAATTCGCATTATACAGTTTCTCTGGGTCCGCAGTGAGTTTGACACCTAGATATTTAATTTCGTTTCGTGTGAATTTGAGGGAATGGGTGGCTTTTATACTGTTGATCTCAGGCGTGTCCATTTCAAGTGGCATGGCCACCGATTTTTCTAAGTTGATTTTATAGCCTGAGATATGTCCGTATACCTCTAGTAGGGACAAGAGTTGGGGATCGTTGGGGGTTAGTGAGTGTGACCATGACATCGTCTGCATACGCAGAAACTTTGTATTCCTTCCCCCCTGCTCGTATGCCTGTTATGTTCCTATCCTCCCTTATCCTATGCAGGAGTGGCTCTAGCGTTAGGACGAACAGCAGGGGGGAAAGGGGGCATCCCTGTCTAGTGCCGTTATTAGGCCTAAATGGGGTTGGAGCTGCTCCCGGCACATTGGTTTGCGCCCTAGGTTCTGTGCATAGGGCTTTTATGCCTTTGATGAATGCTTCCGGCATGTGTAGATGTTCAAGAAGTGAGAAGAGGTAGTGCCACTGGACCCTGTCGAACGCCTTCTCCGCGTCCAAGGATAGAATCAGAGAAGGCATCCGAGTCCTCACCGCCCACCATATGACGTCCGCTCCCCTCCTGGTGTTTTCGTACAGTTGCCGTGATGGTACGAAGCCGACCTGATCTGAGTGGACCAGTGTCCCCAGGAGGGGGATTAGCCGCGTCGCCAGGATTTTTGCAAACACTTTTACGTCAAAGTTTATCAATGAAATGGGCCTGTAATTCACCGCTTCTGTTGGGTCTCTGCCTGGCTTGGGGATGAGTGTTATATCTGCCGTAAGCGTTTCTGGGTTAGGATGTCCTCCGTCCATCCATTCCGCATATACCTTCACTAGTCGTGGGATCAGCGTGTCTCTAAGGATTTTATAGTAGGAGCCGTCAAAGCCGTTTGGTCCCGGGGCTTTGTTACCCTTAAGGGCTGTTATAGCCCTATCCACCTCCTCCTCCTCTATAGGTGCTCCTAAGTTTTGTAGGGCCCCCGGGCTCAACCGCGGCAAATTTGTTCTAGCTACGAAATCCGTAACCGCTTGTGTATATACCCCGTTAGTGCTGTGTAGCTCCGGGGAGTGATTGTAGATGTTGGAGAGGAGCTCCGTGAAGATCTGGTTGATCTCCATAGGGTTATGGGTCACCTGCCCTCTTTTGTCTCGTATCGCCGTTATGGCTTTGAATTGTGGTTTGGGGTTTAGTGCTCTGGCTAAGAGGGTGTGCATCTTATTAGAGCGTTCGTAGTAGAGGCATTTTGTACGGACTAGGTCTCACCCTAGATCTTCCACCGCTGTGGCCCTTATTTTGTGGCGGAGTTCTCTAAGGTCCTGGAGTCCTTGTGTCGTGGGGGTTTGTTTGTGTCTGGCTTCGGCCCTCCTCAGCGCCTTTTGGAGCTAGAAGAGGGCTTCCGCTCTTTGTTTTTTCCTTCGGGTCGCTAGTTCGATGAGGGTGCCCCTAATGACCGCCTTGTGAGCAGCCCAGATCGTGGATTGTGTTAAGTCCGGCATATCGTTTGTATTGAAATAGGCCGTCAGTTCGCCCTGGATAAGTTTCATCACCTCGGGGTCTTTTATGAGTGTGCTGTTTAACCTCCATTTCCATGGGGGTTTGGGTCCCGGGAGTCTTAGTGTGAGCTCTATATCGGCGTGGTCCGACCACGTAATAAGGTTTATTCGTGCCTATTGGATCCATGGGATCCCTCTCTGGTTAACCAGAAACATGTCTATGCGGGAGTATGTTGAGTGTGCCACCGAGAAGAATGTGTAGTCCCTCAGTCCTGGGTGTCACAGCCTCCAGGGGTCTAACAATTTTGTTTTTTGTATGAACTGGGCTAGCAGCTTGCCTTGTAACAAATATATATTTTTAATTAAAAATAAAAATGATGTCCCCCCTCCCTGCTTACCTTTGTCTGGGAGGGGGGATATTTCCTGCAATCCCTGTTGGTCCTGGTAGTGACAGTGAATTCTAGCAGCCTCAGGAGTTCACTCCCGCGAGATTCGTAGCATTGCCGTGGTAACCATGGCAACACTCTGAGCTCGCAAGAGGAGAACTCGGTGGAGCTGCAGGTCCTGCAGAGCCGGCAGGGGAGAGCACAGTACTCGGTGCTATGATAATGACTTGTGGCTCTCCTTTGTGGGGCGCCGCGGCACACAGTTTTGGAACCGCTGGTCTACACCATAAAACACACATCAGTTCACAAAAATAATTATATTGGGGAGTGAATTTAGTGTAAATAAAAAAAGTAAAAAAACAAACAAGCAGCATCACAAGACCTCCAATCATGGCCTGGTTTATTGATATCATGGCTGGGCAGACTAGCATCTGTCAAGATGAATCTACTCCCCAGATTCCTCTACCTGTTCCAGGCACTGCCCATACCAATCACAACCGCCGACTTCAAGACATTACAATCCCAAACCGACCGCTTCATTTGGGCCAATAAAAAAGCCAGAATAAAAAGAACAACACTCTACATACCGAACAGATCAGGGGGACTGGGTCTCCCGCACTACATGCACTATTACCACGCCACGCAGCTAGCACAGATACAACACTTACATGCCCCATACGGTATCAAGAGATGGGTAGACCTGAAACACACCATATTTGGCAGGGACTTCCCATCCCTCTATATTTGGCTACCCAAACAAGCAAGACCACAAATACCCGCCACCACCCCAGTACTAATAAGATCGCACACAAAAGCTCAATGACTTCAACCCCCTCATCCCTCTCACCAATCTTACGCAAAACACAGTTCATCCCCGGCATGACGCCCCAACACTTCTCCAGATTCAAAGACAATGATCTTCTTCGCTTTTACCAATTCTACCGAAACGGAACACTACTGCCTTTCCCATACCTACCCCAACAGACACCACATTAACCACATTCGATCACTTTCGCTACATCCAAATCCAAAGCTTCTTAGGCAACCCAACCAACAAAAAAGCAAGCACCACAAACCTCACCCCCTTCAAAAAAACCTGCATTACATCCCCAATCCAAAAAAGCCAGATCTCCAATCTCTAAACATAATCACAACCTCTATTGAGGGCTCGCTCACATACGTGTCGGCCTGGGAGAGGGACCTAGGGCCACCTGACCACCCCTCAGACTGGGGAGACATATGGGAGGCCACAGCCACAGTTTCCATATGTGTAAATCCCACATCCAGACCCCGAAACAACGGGGACGGAAACCACCTTGACTCACCAGGGCCATCCCATCCACATCCCACCAGATGTGAATCCACCCCTCCACACCTACAAACCCCGCCACTGTATCCCTCCCTCATGACCCAAACCCACCCCCTCTCTTCTTCCTTCCTCCTCTTCTCTCCCACGCCTCCCTTGCTTCCTCTCGACCTCTTCAACCTACACTCTATCCACCTTACAACTACACCACCACACCTCCTACTTTCTCACACCCCCGCACCCAAAACACACTCACTACCACCTATACTGGCCCTTCGCCTAACCAACCCACAGATGCCTCCACCACACCACCACGCACACGCCGAGGGCGCCCAACCTATTCCTGACACGCCAAACCCACACCACTAACGACAAACGCCTCGGGAACAACCAAAACCCACAACCCCACTATACCAACAGAAACCGGCATATACCTAGACAAGGACCTAAAGCCCAGAAACTAGAGAACTACACACCCACAGACCGCACAAACATAGAAGATGAACAGTACAGCACGAAACACAACCCCTTCTCCCTAAACACGGACCTATTAGGCTGCTAACTACTCAGCCTCACGAACCGCACAAGAAGGTAGTCAGAAAAGGGAGGGGAGAGCCAGGGCCATTCCTGTGAGAAATAACGCAAGCAACCACAAGAATCTACACCGTACAACTAATTGCAACAACACCAGGTAATGCCCAACACGACTATCAACGCTTTGTACCAATCTGACTAATTGTAACCTCACAAAGCCCGCCAAACAAACGACACATTACCAAACTATACCCCCGAGCTCCTCTCTCTGCACCCCCTCCCATGACACAAACTTCCCGTGAAAGGGAAAAAAATTCACGAAACAAAAAGCACAGGAAAAAGACGATGCGCATCCCCCTCCTCCCTTCCTCAAACGTACTCCCATCTCCCTGACTCATCCGCCTCACCGGCGCCACAACGTTAAGGGTACTACCGCAGCAACACTGTCTCTTACTACACTCAATGTACCTCTTTGTACCTGAGCTCACATGAACCTAATAATGGAAGACCCTGATATTTATACTACCAGGACCTATGTAACCCACTGTATATTCAAGAGATACTATTTTCACTTTTGATGTCAATTAGACTGTATTTTCTTTGATATGTACCCATCCCCCTTTCTTTGTTCTGTATCCCAGTTCTCACTAAAACATGTACTGGAAAACTATAAATAAAGAATTTATAAAGAAATTGAAAAAAAAAAGCTGAAAATAGGAAATGAAAGATATAGAAGGAGCATTTACAGAATGGAATTAATGAGAGAAATGAGAGCAAAAGGAAAACATATGCACATATTCCATTAGCCTCTTTTCACGTCCCCAATTTAACATGCTGAATGTATCAGATTGAAGCTTCAGTCACCACTGCATTGCTTTTAATTTTTCTAGTGCTAGGAGTCTGCTAGAAACACACGAATGCCGGGAACACTTTACCGTTCGGGACTTTTATGCTATACGAAATAGACCGACCCCAGGTAGCTACAGTTATGGAACTCTTTTTCGGATATATTGTCGCGAACAACCGGTGAAATCAAAACTTCATTCGACGATATTGAGAACTGTGTTCGTGGGATCTGAGCGCTTGTTGTGGTGTGACCTAAATATGAATATTAATCTCTTAATACATAATAATTAAGCAATACGGAACAACATTAATATTTTTATAATTCATGGTATTATGGTCGAATATGTGGATAGAAAATACACAAAACGTTGTAATATTAAATGTATATTTAATATAACTATAATAAATAAACAGATGCTAGCGGAATGTCAATTTCAATAATTATACAATACAATACTACACAAAACACTATTGGTTGCTAAGGCTATTACAATTGCTAACTGTTACAATACAAACATATTACTTACAAGGCCCCAGCCAAAGGGCTGGGGCTAAGTCAGAGCTGGTGCTACATGATCAGTCAGGTACAGGCAAACAGAGCTCGCTTCTCCTCACATCTGGGTTTTATTCAGTGTAAGTAGGCTGGCCTGTGATGTCACTGCCAGAAGCACAGGTCTTCCTACACACTCCCCCTAGTGGTGCCCCAAAGCATTACACTAAATATGCTTTACTGACATCTAGTGGTGCGTCTAAAGCATTAAGCTCATTATGCTTTTTTATGACAAAAAGTCATTAATTAATAAATACCATTACAAACCACCCTTTGACTTATGTCATAAAACAAACATTATAAACCCATACATCTTGAATCTACCCTATTTTAACAGTACCTGCCCTACAACAAAACCCACCTTTTGAAGAATGATACCCATTTACCCATAAAGTTATGACACTTTATTGCTTATTCAATTTTTATTTACTTTTTTTCATTGAGCACATGCATCACCAGTTGGGAAACCTTGGCCTAAAATAAGCACATACCCACCCTTATAATAACAACTGAGCACATGCATTAGCAGTTGGGAAACCTTGGCCTTAAATAGGCAAATACCCACCCTTGTAATAATAGACAACTCAAACCATGTTTTATTAGATTAACCAATGATATTGTGTTCATGTGAGGATGTGTTTTGGAGCTTAATATAGTATTAGACACCACAAACTCATAACACCTATGAATCATGGCACAGACCGACACGATTTCTGTAGCCTCTGGCTGGTCTGTGTGCCTGGAATTTTCACAAACATTAGTCCTGGAAACTGGATACTCTATTCTTCGACAGTCTCATAGAACATACGCATGGAGACAGGGATGAATGAAACAGTTCATGTGATCAAGGACTTTTGTGTGTTTGTGGTCACATTGTTTTGTTTTTTCTTTCTTTATACCATTAACCACCTTGACGTAACAGTGTCCTGCTCCTGATGCATTTGTTCCGACTCTCACCCCTCTTAGCTGCAATATTTTTTCTCCTTACAGCGACAGTTGAGCATAGTGTCCAGTGCTGCTTCTTCTTCTGCTTGAAAGTTCTTGAATGAAAACACAGGCAATGACGAACACAAACATAAATAATAACTGTGCCAATCATCACAAGTACCATTTGATTGTGGTGTCTTAACCATATTTTTTCCTATGGCGTTTGGATAAATACCTACACACCTCTCTTCACATCCAGCACACTCCTGATTCACAGATAAACACAATATCACTGCTGTATCTACCAATTTAACCCAAACAATCGTTATTACTGCTGCATTTACCAATTTAATCTAAACACTCGTTATTACTGCCGTATTTAACCAATTTAATCTAAACATTAACCAAAACAATTACATTCCTATTTCCCACCCTTCTATTTAAACATGTATAGATAACCCAAAATGCCTACTTTCTCTTATCCCTCTTATTTTTGTTTGTTTTGTTTTTTGAACTGCAACCACTCATGCACTTTACACAGACACAAATCAAGCACCTACTGGACAATGGGGTTCCCTCGTTAGAGCCCTCCCACCCCAGTTTGGTTTACACAAAAATACCCCCTGGTCCCTATGGGTCAATTCCCCCCTTTCCCAGGCAAACATACATACAACAATAATAATACATAAGGGTTTCAATTGCAATACAATCACTAGAAATAAGAGAACAGTATGCACAAAATCATAGCATAGACATGTTAAATAGACAATAAAATAAAACATTCAATAGCTCATCAAAGGTCAACATTTAAACACTGGTCTCCATCTGATATTCTATCTGTGTTCCAATGTCCACCCCTGGTTTCTGCTATATCTGAAAAAGGTAAGAAAACAGATCAGGATTACTTTTCCTTGTCACTTATAGCGTATACTGCCAAATCCTTTACTTAGCATATATACATATATACACATATAAATACATTCCCTAAACTTTTCATTTTATAAACAATTTGTTCAACAAGGTAACTTTCTTAATTTTCTACTTGGCTCTTAAAATAAACAATCAGCTAATAGCTGCTTTCTGCATCTTCTCTGCAATTCAGGAAACACATTTCTAGCCAACCTAAACATGTTTAATAACTCTCCACCCTTTGGTTAAATTATAGAGGAGTGAACCACAACACCTCTTCCGCCTCTGAAAGGATATAGGTCAATATGTCTCAAAGTTCAACACTTCTGACAGCTATGAGTGACTCCCTATTAATTTCTAGCCTTTCCACGGACATGCTTGCACCTCGCGGCTAAGGGCCTGCACAACTAACCACCCTGTGATGGCAGTGGCTTTCCGCATGGGGGTGACCGCCCCCGCAAAATTATAGAGGAGCAAACATACAGCAGCCTCTTTTCCGGCTCGATTAAAGGTTCTGGGCCAATATGTCTGCAATTTAACCAGTACATTCACGTATCACTTATTGTATATTTCCTGGTCTCTCAGGAATTTCTATTAAATAGCGTATCCCCTTCCCAGGGCAATATACAACAAAAACTAGTCACCAAGGGTCTCTATGGTCATGATAGGCCACCCTACCACTAGTGTAATACGCCCTTTTTTTAAAATATATTTCCTGGTCTCTCAGAGATTTTGCCTATCCCTTTCCCAGAGCAATATATATAAACAATTACAAATAAGTTACAAAACGCTACTTATAAGTAATACAGGGTTTCAAATAATAATACAGGATAGAACTGCACAACAACTATTGGGTATGCTCCCCCTTATCCGGACACGTTTAAATACCCCCTAGCTCAGGTTCCCCACCCGCTACTGTAACTAAAATCACAGCCCACGTTATGGAGGTTCACCCGCTAGGCAGATACACCCTAATTCAAAGCATGGAAATATTAAAATCAGTTATAGATGGCTTCTAAAATAATATAAATCTTAATCTGAGCCCCTACACTTACTTTGTTAAAAATGCTAACTTGTTAAAATATTCAGACTAAATAGGACAAAGGAATTATTTTACCATTTTTCAGTTCATTTGTTACCAGTTCCTGCATATGTCCAGTAATTCCTTAGTCCTGGATAATAAAGCTGAAAAACACTCCACAAATTGATTAGCTTAGGCAATTACATTTACAAAACAATGCAGTTTATTTTTTCTCATACAGGCAAGACTACCCCCAACAAGGACAAATTCTCCCCCAGCTGTAGCTGAAAAGCATGGTCACACAGCTGTTAAAAAGGTGGTCTCTCCTTCATGAGTCAAAATCATATATATTTATACTAATATTCTGTGTATACGCACACATAAATCTATTATTCACTGAATCTGCTTTACTAAACGTATCTTTTCTTAACTACTAATTTAATACATTTTGTCCAAATCTCTTTTCAACTAGACAAATCCATGAATGCCAAACAAATGTAAATTAGTACACAAACAGGGTCAAATTTAGCAATAAAACCTGGTGAACTAGTTTAGTGAAAAGTCTTTTCCTATGCAAATGAAAGCAAACAATGAAACTAGGCCTCAACTCATTCACACCATGTGGTCAATGGTGGATTAAAATCCACATGGTCAGACAAAAGGTAAAATTGTTTTTTGTTTTATATATAAAAATGACCAAAGGTTGGTAAAACGTAACAA